AAATAACAAAATTTTCTTATATTAAGTCGTAATAGTTACTGTGTTAAAAATTATGAGTTGTTTTTAAACACATAACAATAAACGACAGTCATGCACACATTTTTTGAATAATTATATGAATAATATTGAAAGACACGTCAATAAACGATCATCGATTTTAGTATGAATAAAATATACACATCTGTCATTTTTAATGTTAAAATTAATCGTTCCATCATAACCAATTGTCTCTTTTTAAACCTAAATAATATTATTGCGAAGGATTATTATATTTGTCATGTTCTTTTTTTGATAGGCATATCTAGTCATGCATAAACTTATTGTTTGGAACAGTGCATGACAGTCGTTTAATGTCATCTAGTTAAAAATAATTTTTAGTTTCTAAAATAGTAATTATTACGACTCAATATAAGAAAATTATGCCAATTATTCATTCAGTTATGCTAATCCTTCACTCAGTTACGACAAGAAAAATTTCATATAAAAGTGGTGGGGGACCACAAAAAATGTCTTGTTTTTGTTACAAAACAAAAATACTACTCTAATTCGTAATACATGCCGTAATTAACAAACACTTCACATCTTGTGGATCAGAAAAGATTTCAGTTTTTATTGAACTAAGGGTGCGTTTGGTTACAGCGTTAGAATAGTAATGAACATAGAAATGATAACGGTAATAGAATAGAATAGAAAAGAAAAGTAATGCCTTTGTTTGGTTATGAATTTACAGAGCCGGTGGAATGAAGTATAATTATTGTTGCTTTGATCAATTTGCCCCTCTTCTGAGCACCATGTTGTTTATAAAAAATTGCCAAATAAATAAATAAAATAAAATAAAAATAGATTGGTGGCTGCTAGAGAAAACCCATCAGACTAGCACCAAAAGACCCTTTGGACATGGAAGCATGTCAGAGAAGACGAGACTAGCAGGACCAAGGAAGGCAACAAAAGTGCCCAACGATTGAGATAGAACGTATGAGATGAGCACCTATGTTTATCAATGAACATTAGATCTGGAGAGGAGTGGCGGATCTAGCGAGGAGAAGAGTGGCACTCAGGCGACAGATCCGATGAGGCAAGCAGTCGATTTCGGTGAGTAGAGTGGCGGATGGAATGTTGATTCAGCTAAAACGAGAGAAAAGTCATTCCTTCAGAATAACTATTTCTTATCTTAAAGCCAACCAAACAGCTAAACGAATTCCCTTTCCTTTCCATTTCATTTCTTCCCCCCAACCAAACTCACCGTAAAAAGAACCTTTGTGGGCCCCACTTTTGTCGTCAACGTAGGTGATCAAAATCGAACTTCTATTAAGACCAAAATGGCCATTTTAGCCTTAGATAAAGTGAAAAAATAGTCCTATACCTCTCTTCATCTTCATTACACAAACCTAGACAAACGCAAAATCTCCCCAAGTTTCACAAAGAAAATGGAACACCATTTGAAGAAAATTGTCAAATTAACCATTTGAAGAAAAAAGGAACTTTTATGATAGAATTAGAAAAAATAAACTATCAATAGTTATCTATTTTCGGTCATTATATCTATATAAAAAATTATTTATTCTGAATACATTTTTAGGTCCCGTTCATTTCGCCGATTCGAGTTTTGCTATAGTAAAAAGCTCTCAGAAATAGTAACATCTAACTTTTTTGTTATAGTAAAAAGATATCACATAAAGTCACATATTAACTCGAATTAAAAACTCGAATCAGCGAATTAAACGAGTCCTTAATTTAATGTGATTTTGACATGAATTAACATTTAGAAACTAACACTATTAATACCACTGGCTTACAAGAAAAAACTCGAAAAGAAAAATGTTACATAACCATATGAAGAAAATGGTCAAATTATCTATTTTCTATATAAAAACAAAGACACAGAATAAAGAATAATAACATAATATAGAATTTATTCAATAAATAATATAGAATTTATTCAATAAATAATATCCATTCAAATCAGAATAAAAAAATATACCTAGGACTGAAATCGACAAAAAATATTTTTTTAAGTAGTCGTTTTATTTACTAGCTGTCTATTTCTCACACGTCAAAATCGGTTATTTAGTGGCAAAAACTATTTCAATGGTTTTTATTTCCATACTGTTTCTTAAAAAAAAAAAGGTCAGATCGTCCATATTAATTTAATTAATATTATAACATACACACACATATATATAGAGGTATAGTTTGAAACCGGCAGCCGGATAGAAACGGCGCCCAGGTGGAAGTAAAGTGGAGGCTTGGGTGTGTGCAACTACTTATAAAATCAGATTTTGATAGCACGTGGCAACTACAGAGAATACTTATCTGAATGTTGTCAGTGAGCCAAATAATATAAAAATGTTGTAAGGGCTTAATTGTAATTTTATTCAAATAAAAAAAATAAACAAAGACAATGAAAAGCCATATAATCAAGCGCTTGAACAATATGGTTGCTTGTGAAATTAGAAGTGTAGCATTCATGAAAACAACGTGTACTCTTATCATCTTCAGTGTGTGACATGCGTTGTTGTGATATAAAAAAAGGGTTTTGATTGAGTTAAGAACATGATCCTTTTATGAAAAAAAAAAAAAAAATCAATTCCGTTGCATTTTGTATTTTCAGAACCATAAAAAGTAGCATCCCCTTCACAGTAGGAGTGTTCAAACAAATATGCCAAACGGCTTATTACAAATCATATCAATCAAATCGTTAGTTATTTTTAGATTATTAAGGTCTGTTCACTTCGCTGATTTGAGTTTAGAATTTGAGTTTTCTACAGTAAAAAGCTCTCATAAACAATCACATCTAACTTTTTTGCTACAGTAAAAAGCTCTCACATAAAGTCACATCTCAACTCGAATCAGCGAAGTGAACGGGCCTTTAAGTGATTTGTTCAGTTTTTTAATTTAATTTTTTAAGCAGTTTGGTTAGTAATTTAGTTTTTTAAACTGCTCAATAATCTGTTCAAAAATACACATATATGATTTTTTAATATATACATATATATTTTAACTTTTATCAATCGTAATAAAGGTTCTATAATACTTATAAAATATAACCTACCACATTTTTGTTGTTTTGTATTAAAACTTTAATTGGTGAACTTTTACACATTTACTATTTTTAATTATATTGTAAATTTGAACCTTATTTTTATTTTTTGGGATTAATGGTTTATAATTTTGTGAGTTATTGAAAGTTTTTTTAGTCTTAAGCTCAAAGACACCAAATTACTTATGAGTAATTCAGGCCTCGTTCTTTTCGCTGATTCGAGTTTTGCTACAGTAAAAAGCTCTCAGAAACAGTCACATTTAACTTTTTTGTTATAGTAAAAAACTCTCATACAACATCACATCTCAACTTGAATTAAAAATTCGAATTAGCGAACCGAACGAGCCGTTAGTTTTGTTTTTGTTTTTGGTCAAAAATATCAAACTACCCAAAATACTTAAAGAAAAATTTATTTTTGATTTAATCGGTGGTTTTTAAAAAGAACTGCCTAATTTACGTGAACACACTTATGGCATGTTTACCTACACGTAATCGGAATGAGCATGAATCAGAGTGGGTAGGATTCAGAGTGAGGAATCAGAGTCAGAATAAGCTGTTTACTTAGTGATAAGATTTAGAATCAGAGTCATTCCAAATCTCATTCATACGTTTACTTACACCCAGAATCAGAATAAAAAAGTGTAAAAATACTAATATACCCTTTAAATCAATTTGATATTTTCAATTTAAAAAATATATTGTGTACCAATTTATATTAAAATTAATCATAATTAAAATATTTAGTGTAATAATTGGGTACTAAAATAATAAATATAAATTGTACAACTATTTAAAATATGAAAATAAATTTTAAAAAAATTTAAATAAAATAAATAAAAATAAAAAATAGTGTTAAAAAATAAAATATATTATTAATTTATTAAAAAATAAAGTACATATTTATTATATTAAAGTTAACAATAATTATGCTAATATTATAATATTAAGCAAATAAAATAATAAATATATGTTGCATTTATTATTTTTTGAATTTTATTTTTAATTGTGTATTTATAAGTAAAATACGGGTATGATAGTAAATTAATATTAATATTAGAAATGAGAGTCTCAATGCTATGGGGGGCATGAGAGTGCCAATCCCATTTCTTAATTCTAAATTTGAGTGAGACCTACTAATCTTACTTCTATTTCAAAATAAAAAAAGAGTAAATAAATATGAGATTGACTGTAAACATGCTCCTAGTTATGTGACAGTTGTAAGTACGGTTTGGTTATTAATGTGATCCTATGAGGAATATCATTTATTCAGTCATCTTTTGATGATTTACAATAAATTTGTACATTGATATAAATTAGGATGATTCTATAAAAATGTAAGTTTTTAGTAATAATTCCTCCCAATTAGGAAAGTTTCCTAAATTTCTTTCCATCAAGCATGGTATCATTTTTTTTTAATGGAAATAGTATCTAATGACAACTAATGTACAAATTATAAAATAATTAAAAATCAATTAGAAGAATTAACAATAACACGCTCACAATAAAAGTAGGACATCTATTTTTTTTTTTTTCCAACGGCAACAGAAAAACTCTGCTGTGTGTGGGTTTTTTGAAGTTGTAAGATAAAAACACAAACTACCTGAAAGTTTTTTTCATCTAACTTACAAAATTTATGCCATTATTATTATTATTTTTTTTGGTGAGAAAAGATACGCCGCAAATAAGTTTTAGAGAAAATAGTGTATTAAAGTTGTTCCAGATAAGTAATTCAAGTATTACCACAATAGGTACCCATGGGCCATGTCTTTGTCCAACATTAAAAAAATAAAAATAAAAAAGATTCTTAAAAAGAAAAACCCCAAAAACGTCAATCGTTTCTTATCATTGAAAATAACCATATTTAATTATTATAGGCTATAGGTGCCGGATTAAAGACTATTCTTATCTATATATATATATATATATATATTATATTGCTCATCGTAAGCGGTGACGCAGGAGAACAACACTGGGTTCTGCATTTCCTTTTCCCCGTTGACGAAGAAGACAATGTTTGGTGTCTCTCCCTTTCACTCTCCATTTTATTTCAATGGAATTTGATGCACTTTGTAAGAATCGATTCCATTCCTTCCATATTATCAATATTATTATTATTATTATTATTATTATTTATTATTTTTTTCATTTCTTATTGACATTTTTCTATAGGCAAAACGAAAAAGTAAAAGAGCTAAGAAAAGCACAACGATTTTCGGACGAACTTTTTTCCCAGAAAATTTTTGTTTCCTTGTTTCCTGGTCCTCTTTTGATGCGTTTTCTATGTCTGAAAAATGTAAGATTGCTCAAAAGCAGAGGATACTTTCGTTCAGCAATTTTGTTGGAGTAAGTAATCATTTTTTGACTTTATTATGAGAAAAAGTAATAATTATTTTGGATCTATATATTTTGTTGATTGGGTTATATTATTTTTGTTTTGTTTCGGTTGAGTTGATGCTTTCAACTAATACATTGAATTTACCTTAAAAAAGTGCGGTCCTGATCTTTAACAAATAATTTTTTTTGGGCAAAAATTTCCCATTAAGCGTCTTTTTCTGACCATAAATTGTCCCATACTCTTGAGTGTTGATTATTCTAATACTCTTGAGTGTTGATTATTCTAAAGCAAGTAATATAGAGAAATTGTTTAACTTGGACTGTAATTTTTTGTTTTTTTCCCCTTCATTTTTGACGGAGAAGGTGAACGTTGAATAAATCTATATGTATTTTAATCCATTCAATTCTCTAGCAAAGAAAGCCAAGGAAAAGTGAGGGATTGTTTTATTAAAATTTTATTGGGTTCATATGATATGACTTTCCAAATCTTGTTGGGAAATATATTAAAATAAAATGAACATTTGGAGCTGTTGTTTCTTGAATGGTAATTTATTTTTAAATTTTTTTAATAATTTTACTTGAGGTTAAATATGGTTTGTTGTATTGCAGAATTAGCCCAGGAGAAGCTTATGTGCTTTAAGTGAAGAATTCTTTGTTAGAGAGACAGGGGCAGAGAGACGAGTGAATGAAGAGTGAAGAAATGGTTTTTGAGCCATTCGTCTGGTACTGTAGGCCAGTGAAGAATGGGGTTTGGACAAAGGCTGTGGATAATGCCTTCGGGGCTTACACGCCATGTGCGGTCGACTCGCTGGTGATCTGTGTTTCTCATTTGGTTCTTCTGGGTCTGTGTATCTATCGAATTTGGAGGACTAATAAGGATTTCACAGTCCAGAGATTCCGTTTGAGGTCCAAAGTTTACAACTATGTGTTGGGGTTATTGCCTGCTTATTGCACTGCTGAGCCTTTGTTCAGATTGATAATGGGAATTTCCGTGCTGAATTTGGATGGACAGGCTGGTCTTGCACCATTTGAGGTTGGTTGTTGTTGTTGTCGTCGTCGTTGTTATTATTATTATTATTATTATTATTATTTTTAAATAAATAATGGCTTGTGTCTTTATTTGTTGTTAGCTCTTCTAATATTCCACACACCATTGCAGGACTTTTTTTTCACATACCCATTACATTAGTCGGTTTATGCTTAGCAACTTTAACATGTTTCCCAGAAAAAAAAAGGAAGATGGAAAAATGCTTTTGGGTCGTTGTCTTTGGTGAAGTTTAGTTATGTCTAGTTTGAGTTGATGCTTAGTAACATTAACATGTTTCCCTGAAAAAAGGAAGAGCGAAAAATGCTTTTGGGTTATTGTCTAAATGAAGCCCAGTTATGTCTAGTTTTGATATGGGTGTAGACTGGAAATAAATTTTCCATAATGCATTCCTTTCGATTTTTGGTTTCGTTTCTTTATGAACCTTTTAACGTTTGTACTTTCCCATAGGTTTTGTTGAATAACCCACTGCCTTATCTGAAAGATTAGATTAGATTGCTATCTCTAACCCCGTTCAAGATGAACATTCGTCTGAGTGGTGCTAATCTTGATGCAAGTTTCTGTTTTGTGATTTTTATTCAGAAAAAAAAGTTCCTGTTTTGTGAGAGTTGCAGGAGTAGAATAACATGTTATAGGAATAGTTGGTCAGAATTTCTGATTGGTCACCACTAGTGGTTTGAACAAATGATTAAAGAACTTGATAATTGCACATGGTTATATGGAAGTTTTTTATATGCACTAAACTAGACCTCTCAATCTGCTGAAAAGGGTGAAGTTGGGGTGGAACTCCTCTCCTCTTATGTACAAATAAAATGTTCTGTGCGTTTGGAACTCGTTCCAAAATGATTTTGTTTTTTGTATGAAAATAGAAATAAAAATATTTTCAATCTCAGACTGTAATCATTTTTGAAAATCCGTTTGGTAGTTTTATCAAGAGATTGTTTTCAGTATAAAAAAATCCATTAATGTCTCTCTCTATGCTCAAGAGAGGAGAAAACAGAAACAAAAAATGAAAAACAACTAAAAGTCATTTTTCATTTCTCTCCCATTTTACTCTAAACCAAAAAATCGTTTTCATTTCTGTTTTTTGTCTTTAATTGTGCCAAACGCCGTTTCTCTCCCGTTTTCATTTTTTCTTTCTCGAAAAATGTGAAAAACAAAAACAAAACCAACTCCAAACATGGTAGTTGTTTTTTGCTACAATAAACAAATGGGTACAAGTACATGAAGGTTTTGTATATTGGCTTATTGCGTAAAGGACAACAAAATGCCTCGTGAAAGGGAGTTAGGCAATGCTAGTAGTACCAGGAAAAAAAATCCAAAACAAAGACGTGCCCATGAAACAGAATAAGCATCTAAATTTAGGTAAAATGAGAGGAACCAAAATTTAGGATCCTCAGCTTTCTAAATCGAACAAGCACCAAACTATCTTCATGCTATCTTTGGACAGTACTCCCAAGGCTGAGCGTACATGATTGAGACCAGACACTCACTCTTCACAAACTATTGGTTTCAGTAAGTTCTGCCAAAATATAGCCCTCGCAACAGGAGTTAGAGCTTATCTCCCAATAAAACAATTGTAGCTGTACTACTTCCAACCTTCCAATCCCTCGAGAGATCATACATACATGGCTGTCAGCCTTCACAACCACGATCGCATCTCCGCCTAAAAACTACGTTACAATCTCCGCAATTTGCTGAATGAGTCTTTCCTGTCCTAGCAACTTCAAAAGGACTTTACAACAGGGGCGAGACTATCCTATGTGCAGTAGGGAAGTCTATATGCTCTCACTGAGGCCAGAATGACAAGTGTAGCTTGGACTGCAACTATTTTTCCTCCAAGTTGGCTTCTCCTTCCGTATTTATAGGATCCGCCTGGCCAAAAACAGAGCCATTCAGCTTCATATCTAAATTAGTATTTGGAAATTCATCAACTACTTAGCCAAACAGACAGTTGTTCCTATAAGCTCCTCCCTAACAGGTCTTCACGTAATGTCCTAAGAATTGAAGTTATCTCGGTGGCCATTGCTTGATTGATTGGTTCAATAAGTTTTGACACTAGAATTAGACTGGAAAGTTCATCTCCAAATGAGTTTTTGTTTTCGACATTTTAGATTCTTTTTCAATGCTTAGGTTCTTGGCTAGCTTAACTATGTGTCCTGTTAGTTTATCAATCCATCCCAAAAGCTTAAGCTGTTAGGAGGTGGGTCAATAATAGTTTTATATTTTAACACTCCCCCTCACGTGTGGGCTGTACAATGGGCAATCGTGTGGGTAAATTAATTAGAAAGTCCAACACGTGAATATTTAAGCCGAAATATATTAAAGACCCAACAATGATGACAATTTAAATGGGGATAAAGAGTGCAATTACGGGGGTTTGAACTCATGACCTCTTGCTCTGATACCATATAGCAGGAATTCGAGGAGATGGCAGAGGAAAAAGGAAAAACACTGCTTTTTTTTTATTCACTCATATTCAACCTCTACATTAGTCTCTTTATATAGGAGAGACCAGCTGGTTTAAATAAGGAAAACAATCATAACAAATAAAAGACAAATTACAGAGAATATCATAAAACAGCTAATCCCTAGTCTCTAGGAATATTCCTTGAATCAGCTGCAAATCCTCCTAAATAACTACAAATCCTCCTAAATAGTTACAAATCCTCCTCCATAATTATCCTATATTCGGCAACACTCTCCCTCAAGTTGGGTAATATATGTTGTACATACCCAACTTGTCTACTAATTTTTCAAACACGGGTTTAGCTAATCTCTTGGTCAGGACATCAACCACTTGTTGAGTAATAGGAACATAGGACATGCAAATAGTTCCTTCTTCTATCTTTTCTTTGATAAAATGCCGATCGACTTCCACATGTTTGGTCCTATCATGATGAACAGGATTGTGTGAGATATTTATGGATGCCTTGTTATCACAATAGACACGTAATGGTAGCATAACTCCAACTTTAAGCTCATCTAGCAACATTTTCAGCCACAAAACCTCGCAAATTCTGTGAGCTACCGATCTGCTTCAGCACTGCTTCTAGCAACTACTGTTTGCTTCTTGCTTCTCCATGTAACCAGATTTCCCCATACGAGTGTACAGTATCCAGAAGTAGACCTCCTATCCCCAATAGCTCCTGCCCAATCCGCATCTGTAAGACCTCCATACTTCTATCTTCTCCCTTCTTGAAGAACAATCCTTGTCCAGGGGTTCCCTTCAAATACTTTAGTATCCTTATACACAGCTTCCAAATGCTCTTCAGTAGGAGAGTGCATGTACTGACTCACTCGACTTACTGCAAAAGCTATATCACGTATAGTATGAGACAAGTAGATAAGTCTGGCGACTAAACGTTGAAAGCGGCTCTTGTCTACAGGACTACTATCCCCCACACCTTCCTTTTTTTTGTTTGGTTCTACAGGAGTTTCTACTAGTTTGCAACCCAACATTCCAGTTTCCTTCAAGAGGTCTAGCACGTATTTTCTTTGCGAGACTAAGATACCACTTCTATTTCTGGCAACTTCCATTCCAAGAAAATACCTTAGACTCCCAAGATCTTTAATCTCGAACTCTTCTGCCAACTTCCTTTTAAGCCTTTCCTCTTCTTCAAGATTATTTCTAGTCAGGATAATGTCATCAACATATACGATCAACATCGTAACCTTATCATCCTTATGTAGATAGAACAGCGTGTGATCACCTCCAGCCTGCTTGTACCCCTGATCTTTAATTACCTTAGTAAACCTATCAAACCAAGCTTGTGGTGATTGCTTTAGGCCATATAGGGATTTCTTTAATCTGCACACTTCTTCACATTTTCCATCTTCATTGAATCCAGGTGGAAGTTCCATATAAACTTCTTCTTTCAAGTCGCCATTTAAGAATGCATTTTTCACATCAAGTTGTTGCAATTGCCAGTGTAAGTTTGCCGCTAGGGATAACAAGACTCGAACAGTATTGATCTTGGCCACTGGTGCAAAAGTCTCCTGATAATCTATCCCGTAAGTCTGTGTGTACCCCTTAGCCACCAACCGCGCTTTATATCTCTCGATTGAACCATCTGCTTTATACTTGACTGTAAATACCCACTTGCACCCAACTGTAATCTTATCTTTTGGTTTTTTTACAATATCCCACGTACCATTCTTCTTCAAAGCTTCCATTTCTTCCAAAACAGCCTTTCTCCATTCATCCTTTCCCATTGCCTCCTGGATGTCTCTCGGTATCTCTGTACTCGCCAAATTCGTCACCAAGGCCTTTATTGAACTTGATAGATGATCATAACCTACATAATTGGCTATAGGATATTTAGTGCAGGACCTAGTACCCTTTCTCAGAGCAATAGGAACATCTAAGTCGTTCAGCTCCCCATCAAGACCGAGTTTTGGATTAGATTCTTGGTAGTGAAGATCCTTCCAGCTTTCTACAACTTTTTGGTTCTTCCTGCGTGAATAGGTTAGATCAAATGGTTGCAGGCCTTGCTTTTGCATTTTAGATGTTGGATTCTTAGGATTTTGGGCTTGTGTGACTGTGATGGATTGTAAAGGATCACCTAATTGTTCTGCAGATGTGTTCGGTTGATCAAGAACATGTGACTTGGGGCTTGATAGGGTAATTTCCAGATTCTCAGTGGGATTTTCTATGGTAGTGCTTGGGAAGTTTTCAGATTCTAAAGCATGAATATCTGTAAGATTTGAGCTAGGAATATTTTCAACCTTTTTACCATGATTCTCTATTTCAGGGGACGTTTCATGGAGCTCAGAATCCTTAGGATCTAGGTTTGTAATCTCTGGAGGTGGGGTGAAATCCCAAAAAAACTCCCAAGACAAAGACGAACATTTAAGGTCTGACCCTCCTGATATTTAGGCTTCTCCCAAAAATTATCTTCCCATATTTTCTCCCCCTGAAGGAAATTTTTGGTGAAAACAGGTTGGTTTTCAAAAAAGGTGACATCCCTAGTCACAAAATATTTCCT